GATGGTGGTGTGGTGGTGGTGGTGGTGGGCGTGCGTGTGGGCGTGTGGAGGGCCAGGTGGCAGAGTGCCGGAGTAAGGACAGTCTCCGCGTTGCCTCAGTGCCAGTCGGCGGTGCCTCTCTCGCGCGCCGCCGCTGCTTGACGACCGCCGCGAGACTTCACTGCCGCCGGAGTCACTCGCGAACGTGACGACGCGACGCTCCCAACCATCTGTGACGATACAGGCGGTGCGTGACGCTAAGGGAGCTGTGGTGTTACGAGGTAAATTCGACACCACGTGTGTTTTGACACTACTGAAGGTCTGTGACGCTCTGTAACACTACGAATAAAAGTGTGACATACCAATTGTTTCATCTAATGACTGTGTGACGGCACTGTGACGGTAGAGGCACTGTGTAATGCACAGAAAGAATGTTTTGTTCTACCACAAGCCAATGTGTGACGAGCCAAGCGTTGTGTGACGCTCTGGAACCTATGTTACGTTCAAGGATGTTGCGTGACGCTCTGAAGAAAATTATACCGTAACAAGTGCAGTGTGACGCTACAAGTAAGTTAGACGACCCAAGTGCTGTGTGACGCGCTGTTTCTTGTGTCGCATTTACAGCGTTCTGTTACACCTCGAGGGAATTGTGACGCAACAAGTGCCCTGTGACGTCCTGAGTGCTGTGTGACGTTCCGAGAAATGTGTGACGCGGCGGACCAAGTGTGACGCTCCCGACATTTAGGAGAATCCAAGGTGAGTTGTGACTCGTCGCTCGAGCGTCTTAAGGTCAATACAAGTCATTTTTAGGCGGTGTGAGTCACTGTGATGCTGTGTGGTCACTGCTACCCACTGCAAGGCTATGTGAGTCATTGTGATTCATCGGGATGCTGTGTGAGTCTCCGTAAGTCAATGTAAGGCTGTGTGAGTTATAGTGCCGCTGTGAGTCACTTTGAGTACTGTGAATCATTCTGAATCACTGAATCATTATGAACCACTTTGAATCATTTTGAGTCAATGTGAATTCAGGAAACATAGTGAAAGGGGTGGTTCTGTAACACACACCTGTAACGTAGCTCATATAAGTGGTACAATGGGTAACGTTACGAGTGTTACAACAAGCGGAACACAACTTTGTAATATAAACGTAATATGTGAAAACGATGTAACGCAAATAACCCGGGAAGTGACCAGGTGAGCGGTGTGACAGGGTTGGGTGGTGTGACACGAGGGGCGGTGTGACAGGGTTGGGTGGTGTGACACGCGGGGCGGTGTGACAGGGTTGGGTGGTGTGACAGGGTTGTCGTGGTGTGACACAGTGGGCGGTGTGACACGGTGGGCAGTTTGAAAGGGTGGGCGGTGTGAAAGGGTGGGCGGTGTGACAGGGTGGGCGGTGGTACCAGGTGGTCACGTGGCAGGGGTGTAGGGTGTGTGTGTGTGTGTGTGTGTGTGTGTGTGTGTCGCAATCTGATACCTCTGGCACTGTGACGTCATCAAGGGGGTAATGACTCCTGACCTCTGTATTTATACCCCGGTTATGATGTAATGACCCGCGGTTCTATCTAGCTACCTAGTTATCTATCTAGTTATCCATTTATCTATCTAACTATCTATTTATCTATGTCTACCATTCTAGGCTACACCGAACGTGAGCATTGTCTACTCCTCCTCCATTTTATTCTCCTCCTCCTCCTCCTCCTCCTCCTCCTCCTCCTCTCCTCCTCCTTCTCCTCCTTCTCCTCCTCCTCCTCCTCTTCCTCCTCCTTCTCCTCCTCCTCCTCCTTCTCCTCCTCCCCTTCTTCTCCTTCTCCTCCTTCTCCTCCTCGGCACATCACGATATATACGCTTAAGTGCGATTTACCAGCAAACAAAAAAATTATCAGCCACAAATTTAATTCAGAAGCGGCAGTGATTCTCTTATACACTAATCGGCCCATTAAAGGCAGTGCGGATATAGTACACTGAAGCCTTAAGTCTGCAGTACACAAGGAGATAAGAGACGTCAGCATTGAACTTTACCCACATTCATTTCCTTAATTGTAAAGTCATGTACCTATTCTACAGCAGGGTCGACTAGGGACGCCTCACTCAGTACCGGCCGTGGGATTCGAAGTGTTGACCGTCGGGTTGTCATGTAGAAATTACTGTTTCTAATCAAATACACAGTTATGGGGCCGCCTTAACCTAATTGCGACTAAATTGTATCTATAACTCTCTCTTAACTGATCAGATACACATAACAACTGTGTCACCTTAACCTACATCAACCTAGAGAAGTCGACTTGTGAAAGAGACTTAGGGGTACTTGTAAGCCCGGATCTACGGCCTAGAAAACAGTGCGTTAATGTTCGAAATAAGGCAAACAGAATATTAGGTTTTATATCTAGAAGTGTAAGTAATAAGAGTGCAGAGGTCTTATGGCAACTATATCTTGCGCTAGTCAGGCCGCACCTCGATTATGCGGTTCAGTTCTGGTGCCCTTATTATAGAATGGATATGAATTCACTGGAGTCGGTGCAGCGAAGAATGACGAAAATGATTCCGGGACTTGGAAACCTTCCATATCAAGATAGGTTAAAGAAACTAAACTTGCATTCCCTAGAAAGACGAAGAGTGCGGGGAGATATGATAGAAGTATTTAAGCGGGTGAAAGGAATCAATGAAGGAGATATAGATAAAGTTCTTATAATATCCGAGCAGGATAGGACTCGTAGCAACGGATTTAAGTTGGATAAGTTTAGGTTTAGGAGGGAGATAGGAAGGCACTGGTTCACAAATAGGGTGGTGGACGAGTGGAACAAGCTTAGCAACTTTGTAGTAAGTGCTGGAACGCTGGAAAGTTTTAAAAGGAGGCCTTAACCTCTCAAAGGATTTAGTCATGTAGAAACTGTATATAAAAGTAGAGTTTCTGTATGCAAATCATGTATCTAAATAAAGAACTATGGCTTAAATTGTTTCAGTTTATTTGTGTGTTTTATTCAGTTTCAAGTTTCACATTTAGAAATTAGACAAAATCAGATTAAAATTTATTCCTCCCATTACAGTACGTTCAATTTGTCGTATCTTACTGTGAGATAAGGGGGACTTAGAGAGAGACAGAGAGATAAAGCTGGGAGAGAGAGAGAGAGAGAGAGAGAGAGAGAGATGGTTAAGAGTGGATGAGAACATTTAGAGAGGAGGACAATAGAGATACCGGTGGAGAGACGAAGAAGGAGAGGAAAAGGAGGAAGATAAGGAACAGGATTCAAAGATAAGGTTGAGTAGGATGTAAGAGAGATGAGAGAAAGTAGAGATTATCACAGAGCGAGACGGAGAGACGTAGAGGTCGGTGGAGTAAGTGGGAGGAGGACTTGTGATAAGAAGGACATAAGAGAGTTAAAGGAATAACGAGAGGAAGCAAAGGGTGATAACTGTGGAGGAGAGAAAGTGAGAGAAGGAAAAAAACGAGCTGACCACAACCTCGAACTAAACGTGGGAATAATAACAACACGGTGATAAAGACGATGAAGAAGATGATAGTGATTATTTACGTCGTAATGTTGAAGTCTATAACACACACGCACGCACAGACACACACACACTCTATCTATCTATCTATCTATCTATCTATCTATCTCACTCACTCACACAATACAAAACTGCCATTGTTTTTTGTCCCGGAATGAAGAGGAATATCTAATTATATAAAAATTTATCCCTTTCCTTGCAAAATTTACCTATTGAGTCCATTAGAATCTTCAGTGATCTCTGGCCGTATTCATTGTGTGTGTTTAGGAAGGCGTCTGGGTGGGTTGTGATAAGCCGGAGGAGGAAAAAACACTGAAATTTAAAACATCTATTCTAAACGAAAATCAACATTGAAATTACATAACACTGTCTCACTCTGTAGATACTAACACCGAGTCGAATGTTTACTTAACCTTTAGTTCAGTAAGACTCATAGTAAAAAAAAAAATCTAGAATATGAGATACCACCTTTTTACCTGTGCTAATGAGCGTAAAAAAAACCAACCTGACCTATGTTTTATTTCGCTCGTGAGGGACGTTTATCAGGGAGGGTTTAACACAGCTATTATATAAAACTTAGTAATATAATTTTTTTTAAAAGGAGAAAACAGGAATTTAGTGGGGTTTTTTAGTCGATAATTAACAAGAGGTGTGAGGTGGTTAGTGCATTATACCATGGACAGTCTTAACAATTAACTACTGGTAAAAGTAATGAAATTCGTTACAGGTGGATTGAGGCCACTATTGGGAGTACTACTGAGGGATGTTGTTGTTGTTGAAGTTTTTGATGAAGTTTTATTATTATTATCATTATCGTCAAACTATAGATCATCATCATTATCATTATACGATCAGCAAGGTTCCTGGGATAGTGTCAGCTCAAATTGTCTCTTATCAGACGTTTCCCACACGCTGACACACCCACGTTAGCACCAGGCGTCATGCTCCTGACGGTGGTAATGAGAGTAGGTTGAGATTGTAGATAATAATATGTATACGATTAATTACTATGTTTGTTTACACATAAGGGTAGATAATTAGATAGATAAGGTAGATTGCACAGGTAGATTATATAGACAGGCAGGTATATATGTTACTTCTGGGTGAAATCGGTTAGGCTAGGTTAGGTTAGGTTAGGTTGTCCGTTTGTAAGTTATTTCGCAAAATTACCAAAATACACGCCGGGAATTTTGCAAAATAACCGAAACAAACATATAGAGAGATAGATAGAAGTGGTGTGTTTGTGTGCTTGCGCGACTGCCCTAGCACAGCCTGAGTGACCAATTAGAATGACCAGAAGGACGACCCTCGTAATATGATTGACCAAAATCAACTTCATTTAACTGAATCAAGCCTGACCCATTGGTGCTTTTATTTCTCTTGTTGTGTCTGTGTTTGTGTCTGTTTAAGTCTTTTGCGGGTGTTTGTGGGTTTTGTGTTTGTGTCATTTTCGTTTGTTTGTGTAAAGGTGTGTTTGTGTGTTTGTTGGTGTCCAGTTTTTTTATTTATTTATTATTTATTTTTATTTTGTGTGTGTGTGTGTGTGTGTGTGTGTGTGTGTGTGTGTGTGTGTGTCTGTGTGTGTGTGTTCTCGCACCTTTTCATCGTCGCCCATGTGTACGTATACATATGTGCGTGTCATAAACAAGTCTCCACACAATTCTTCCGTCATTTTATCAGCCTCCGTACACTCATCATCATTAAAAATCCCTTAATGACTCCTACAATTTACTATACTTTTCTCGTTAATTAGGGCTTCCTCCTCCCACTCCTGTATTTAGGTTTAATTGCTTGTTAAGTGGTTGTTCCATCGAGGTGTACAGATCAGGGGAAGTTAATAAGGTGCTGAGGGATTGTATTAAGGTAATGGAGTTTGTATGTAATTTGGTCATCCTGTCTCTCTCTTAACAGACAGACAGGGATATTTTTTTTTTAGTTCTGATCCAGGAACTTCACCTATACACTCCGACTATTAGCCTCCAGAACTCCGGCATTAATAAACATTAGGTGTATCTCCTGTGTATCCAGTAAACACCGTGACCAACGCACAAACAAACAAAGCCCCCCCCCCCTCGAGTGTTACTTAACATTCTTGAGAGTTGCATATATAAGACACTCGAGCGTATCACGGAAGGTCCTCATGCAAGAGAAGGTTTACTAATCACAACGGCTACAGTACATCCCAGTGATGTGTATAAGCGAATATTCCCTATACTAAGACGACTGAACAACTCAAGCTTGAGCGATCA